GTTTTCTAACAATGAAATTTCGTGTAGCTGAACCTCAGACTACTTCATACTAATTGTAATGTCCACCTCCACTGCAAAGCGGTTTGATTTTAGTGTGGTGTTCTCCATCGACCCACGAAAAGTACGTAATCGACAGCAGATCTCTGATAATATTAGTTTTGTCTTCAAATCACGATTGTCGTCTTGCACAACGTCGTCGTATTCTAATTTTTCACCTTAATAGCGGGTCTTTGTCAGAGAATCATTATAATTCAGTAACTTACCAAAGAACATGCATTTTCGATGACATCCTTGGTCTGACAGTGTGATTATTCTGCACGTTCTGGCACCAGTGATTTTCTTCTCACATCGCATACGGGTTTCGTGCATGCGAAAGAGAAATGAATGCGCCGTAGTTGTACAATAACCGTCTTTGCTGTCGCACATCTGATTTAATCTGACTGTACTGAGCTGCAAATGCGTTGTCATGGTTACGCCATTATTTCAGTATGAGGTATGGAAGACGGAAAAATGCTTAAAACGGTTTATTTATATACGACTAAGTTAGCCAATTGCGTGATTGACTAGCACCGACGTTTCGGCTTGTCTCTCACGAGCCCTCTTCAGGGTGGTCAGGGTTGGCTTCTGCAGTCGGCTGTGCAGTCCGCAGCTGTTGTGGTGGATATTCGGCACTAGAGGTTGGTCTGTTTAGATATCTTCGATCATAGCATTCGATCACAAATTCTGTAGTATTATTATGACAGCTTACTCACATCCGGAATTAAACTAGCGTTCATGTACTTTTTATGCGAATTGCTATTAGAGTTGATACCAGAGATTCACGACGGCCGTCAGGAGTCTGCAGCAGCTTTTAGCGTCACAAATCACAGTATCTTTGTTTCAGAGGTATTTTGCTGTGAAATCGGCGGGTTCCTGGATCAAGTAGCAGTCATTACCTCGGTTTCAAAAACATGATCCTTTTTGTCGAATTTGTCAGATAATTCGGCCGTTAGACGCTTCGAAACGAAAGCGAGACTTCTATTCCAGGTCAACGGCTTGCACACTAGGAGCAGAACAACGTTTTTCTGGCATCGATGCATGGAAGTAAGCGAATGCAGTAAAGGAATTCATACACCTATACATGTATTAAAGGTAATCAGGCAGAGTTTGCCAGCGACGTCCCGGCTGTTTCCCTGAGAGCCTTGCAGTTCGTCGGGAAACTAATGGAACAGCGCTTCATGTTCAAATAATAATTTGTCAGAGTCGAGTCATGTCCCTATCAGTGTTGGTTTACGCGTAGGAGATTTGCTGATGAACTAGTGATACGTTATATGGAACAAAGCGGTACGATAGATATGGCGACATGAACATCTGATTTTCAGTCAACTGGAGGTATCTCGTTCTGTTTAGTCAAGTCATCGTCGCTCCTGCGCAAAAGGATTTGAAAATAATCGCTTTCTTCGACGGGGTTAAGCAACTGATACAAAATGTGTCAAGACTAGGGGTCATCCCTGAATCGCATATGGCCATAAAGTCGGTACAGTATGAAGTTTTACAGACACTTTGCATGAAAGCAACGACCCAGAACTGTATCAGCGCATTCATTTTTGTATGCTTGCCATTGAAGAAGGAACACTTGACTTTATTGCATTTGCTTCGGTTACGTCTTCATCTCCTGTTGCTAAGCGGGAGATGCTGCTACATTCTTTTTGAAAAATCGCATCGTTACGATGCTGTTCACGCGAAGTTCTGGCACTTACAGTTTCAGCTCATTCTGCCTTTTGGGTCACTTTCGTTAATGGTGGTTGCACACCGTGGCGATACTTACTTCTATGTCTCAATGGTTCCACGAACTGTCAGTGCTCATTCTTGTTTGTATCGTCCGACGCAGCTCTGCCAGTGGCGATTCTTTGCCTGTCTAATGGCTGTCGTGCCACCCGCTGCTGCTCTACTGGGATATGATATCAAATAGAAAAGCAACAAAAACCTTTAGCTTATAATTCAAGTTTTTGTTTCTGGGCCCATAGTTTATATGGATAGATTCGTGGCTCAGAGTATCAAATACAAGAGACGGTGCAACAGCTTATTTTTGACGCATTTCGATACGAAGATCGTAGCATCATCGGGACTAGGCTAAGTACTACAAATCAGATTTGTACGGAGATTCACGCCACAGATTCAATCTCTGTGAGCGCCGTCTCGCACCCTTTGCGAGGTGTTACAGCCGAACAAACTAACACGTCGACCAAGCTTTCCATGCTTGCAAACAAATTGTGACGACAGATGCGGAAAAGCTGAAACGCTACAGATGGACGATCCATGCCAGTGTGGAACAACAAGAACCAAGGAGGCGCGTGAATACTTTAAGCAATTTTGTAAGCATATCACAGAAAATTTCGATTCTGTGTTAATGGATGATCAGTAGAGTATTTTCCTGATTCATAGTTAGGAAAAGTAAACGAAGAAATATAATACCAATTCCGTTACGCATTCCGATGCCGATAATATCGGCATCATGTTCAGACATGACGTCAATTACGAAATGTGTTGAGGGTTAGTAAAAGTAGTATAGTTTTTTATCGTTTGAGCTGTATAACCATGAATCAAGAAAATAGTCGATTAAGTGAATTGTTTACTTTCGAGTAGCAAGTAATATTTTGGTAATAAAGTTTTTGCATCAAAACTGACGTTAACACTTTCTTCCGTCAAGCAGGTGGACTTATCTAAATGACACTTAGAATGGTCAAGATTAAGAATCAGTTGTCGTTTGTTGGTATCATTTTCTCCGCTCTTGCGCAAGTGTAACGTATTTTCCATATTTTCCTTAATGTTTTGCTATGCTAGATTGTTGAATTTAACGCGTTTAAGGAAAAGACCGCTTGAGCTGAAGCTAAATCAACCAGAAGTAACTAAAGTAAGTAAGCAGTAAACCAGTAAGCACTTGCTGATAGTAACAGGCTGTCTCGCCTCTGAAGTTCTCATTTGCCGTAGCGGTTGCAGAACTTGGCCAATGAAACTTGTTGAACTGAGCTTGAGACGCAATTTTCGAGTAGACGTTGTTTATTTGATTGCGAAGAAGGGTCAAAAAGACATGTGCTCGAATTTGCGACTCGTCTTGTCAGTCACGAGTGGATGATGCATGCGGCTGTTGTCCGTACGCAAGTGCTTACTCACCTGACTAATAAATTACGCGTGTAAAGCTGTTAATCTCCTACTATTTCTTTCAAAGTTTGGTTTATGCATGTTCAAGAGGCTGGTAACGCAAAGGCGCTACACGCTAGCTACTCGATGGTCTTAACCCAGACCTGCGACTGAACCAAGCAGGAACCTGATCAACGCTCTGTAACTACGGCCATAACTGACGGTTATAACTGATTAATTAACTGAACCTGGTTGCGATTGAAGTGAAAGCAGCTTAGTCACAACCGAACTATGTTTAGCCATCTTGTTTACTATTTAATTACACAGATTAAGTTCAAAATATTTCAGACTGCTGTTGTCATTTTGCTTTTGCTTTGCTTCAGGCTAAAGTCGTAAGATAAATTTTTTCCGTATCGTCATCTTATTTTTTCTGTTGCTCTTGATGCCAGCTGACAATAAATTCATCAGCTGAACTTGCTGTTGTAGGTCAGGGTAGCTCCGCCCATAGAGCGTCGGAGTGGGGAGATCATAGGCTTGAATAACGGCCGTAATAAATTGCCGTCTACTCATCTAGTGCAAGTAAATGAGTACCTTTATATTGGAAGAAAGTAGAGATTGCACGTTGTAGTAGCCACAAGACTACAGGCACTGCCTTCAAAAAATGCGACGTTTCTGACTGACCACTCTAAGACAGAAGTCAATGCCGGACCGTAATTTCCATGGAAGAAAGACGTTTTAAACCATGGAAGTGCTCGGGTGACCGATATCCTAATAAAACTTTTTTATTCTTTTCTTGTGAAACGCTCGGATCTCTGAACCACTTAATCATTAGCTGTTCATCTGTTGTTTTCAGTTTTTTCTACTCATTCTAAAACGGTGATATTAGGATTGGGGCTCGTTAAACTCCTTCCATTTGTTCATGCAGCGAACTCTCCAACGACTGAAGTACGAAATTGCGACCATATTAAATGACGGTTGAGTTCATTCTCTGTAGCTGCTTTGGTATTTGTGAAAAGTGATGTGAGCGTTCAAGAGGGCAGTCGGGTCTGACAGATCTCTAAGATAGTTTAAGGTTAAGAGTTTATATCGTTATTCGCGGATTGGACATGCCTTATCAAGCCCGTGACCAAAAAACTATTTAAGCAGCAGCAAGGGCCAAAAGCACTTCTTGAGCTGCAGACGCAACAACGGCTGCTGACTAGACAACCAGCTGCAGAAACCAACCCGAACTATTATAAAGAAGGATCTTGAGAGATGAGTCGAAACGTCGGTACTGGTCATTAGCTTGACTAACCAACTTATTCGTTGGGTTGTTTATAAATCAACCGTTTTTATGTATTTTTAGTTATCAGTATGAACACCAGTATGCGAATAAATTACTCAATTTTAAGAATACGTAAATGTTTATTTTAGGCTACTGACAAACAAAACTTATTGTGTGTACGTCTTATGTGGAAAGGGCAACAGCATTCTCTCTTTTCTTGTACAATTTCTACCTCGCCTTAATGCGATGTTGCCTTCTTGTTACTCTGCCGTCATTTGTGCCTGTCAAAACCAATTCCACGTAATCAGTGTAGTAGCATTTGGTCGTGTTTATAATCTCATTTCATTTCTTTTCTAGGAACGTGCTGGCCTCATTACTACATTCATGCATTGTTTCCATACTCATGGTTTTGTTAAGCTTGGTTCCATCATCCAAAATAAATTTTTTCCTCATTTTTCTCATATGTACATTAGTTATTGTGTATGCTTTTTAGCTACATGTATCGTACAGCTGTTGTCAAATACCCCTTTTCTTCAAGAAGCGAGCACTTCATCCCGTCACATTGTCTCATAACAAAAGGAAGTAGGCCAACGACGGATTTTTCGACTATTGGAAAATGACGATTGGAGATGATCGAATCGTACCGACCTGTGAACCGTTTGAACTGTCGAGGTTCAAAGTTTTGGTGACAATGTCAGTGAGAGGTTGATAGCTGACTGTGCGACGCAACGCGACGCGACAGGTGCTGTTTGAGAGACATGAGGTGTCGTCTTGTTGACTGACCGAGTCACGTCAAGAATTTATTTCATGACCGGACAATTAGGCTCTTCCAAACAGTTGCAGGCAGGAGTAGTGCTCGTCGCACCGGCAGGCCGGCATGGACGTTTTACGACTCGAATGGGCTGAAGTCAGGGCCGAAAGGCGCTATGCGCTATGAACATTCGTTTTAAGTGACGATTTAAAGGGACGCTGACCCGTCGCCTAGTTTCTAACGTGCTCGTCGTTTCAAAAAGTTGTTGCGCGAAAACCGTGTCGCAAGTGAACAATCACCAGCGTAAATTATTCCCAGATTTATCGTCTTTGCATTGTTCTCTGGCGGACGTCGTGGTGGTTGCCGATACACGCTGTGCATATGCGCTGTCCGGCGCAAGGCAAATGCTTGCGGCTTAGGGTTAGCTAAGGGCAAAGGGGCAAACGAGACCAGGCGAACTGACGGTGACTCTTTCCTCAACCTGCGTCGCGTCGCGGCCCGTCGTTGTACGTCTGTCGTTCAGCGCGCTGCCGCGTCCGCACCGATGTATCGGTTCGAATTCGATCATAATTGTATCCGCCGTCGTGTCTGACATCTGCCGCGCGCGCGAAATAGTTTTCGACGCGACGCGCAAATTTGTCGCCTGTCACTTGCTCGCTGACCCGATTCTCTCGACCATTTCTGCCAGCGGATTTTGTCGGCAAACGACGCGTTTTTTACCTCGATTTCGCGCCGCGTTGTTTCTGTGCGCGTCTTCATCGCCAGGCGCGACGGCACTGTTGCGACGCAGACGGTCGGCGGCGCGGTCGGCAACGCGGCTCTGGTGCTGTAGATCCGCTGTTGATCCGCTGTTGATCCGCCGTCGATCCGCTGTCGATCCGGTGATCACCAGTCGCCTTCGACCGACCGAGGACGAACGCGTTTTTTGTCCTGATAAGGTTTCTTCCGAACGATGGTCGGCGGAGGCAGTTGTTCTTTTCTGTGTTCCGTTTCGTTGCGCTACATTCGTCGCGGCGCTCGTCCACTCGGCTGAGTCGCTGCGACCGCGACGGACGCAGACGAGAAAGCAACAGGACAGAGCGAAGAAATATTGCCACTGTTTCTACCATGCATCTGCTGTTTTGTCGTGTCAACAGCGTGCGGCGTTTCCGATGCGCTGCTGTTAGCACAATGCGCAATGGCCGCAGGGAGGAACATTCTCGCTTTTCGAAGCGAAGTTAACGACGAAAGCGAACAACCGCCAACTTGCGGCTGGGTGACGGAGGAAACAGCGGCTGAGGCTGAGGCTGAGGCTGAAGCTGAGGCAGAGACAGAGACAGAATCGCAGGTTTCGCCGGCTCTTGCCATTCGTTACGTCAGTTAGATTACTGTGACGACCAATCGCCGTTTCGCCTACATTGACAACGCCGATCCGATCCGATCCGAGCTGATCCGCCCCGTCTAGCGGCGCACCGCACCGCTCAGCTGCGAAACTCGTCCCACGCTGTAAGGAGTTGTTAATCATTTGTGAGGTGTCTTTTGGCTGTTTTGTGCGAACAGACGCCGCCGGCAGAGGCGTCCGTCTATTGCGTCTCGCCACTCCGCATTTCGCGCATTTCGCGCCTTTCCCGCTATTTCCATCGACCTTTCGTCGTCTCGGACTGGTCATGAGCTCGCTCGAGAGCATCTGGACGCCGTCTGATTGGTCCAGATGAAATGTCCTATTTTTTAACTTCTTCCTCACATCGTCGAGCTTTAGCTTTGTCCTTTCTTGTTCATAGTCGTCGTCTTCGTTTCGTTGTCACCTGCGTTCGTTTCTTCCGGTGCCGTTCGCACTTCGTCGATCAGATGTGTCGCGCGCGCTATTCGGTGGCAGTGGCGATGGCGGTGGCGGTGGCGGTGGCGGTGGCGGAGGCGGAGGCGGAGGCGGTGGCGGTGGCGGTGGCGGAGGCCGTGGCAGTAGCAGTGGCAGGGAGCTGTGGCTGTGGCTGTCGCAGTGGCGGTACGGTTGTTAACGAATGCTAGTGTTGTTTTAATTTTCGCTTGGCATGTTTTCGCACCTACAGGTCAGTTCCTGTTGCAGCCACTCATTCAGTCAATCACTCAACTGCTCGCTTATGCACTCCTTCATGCAGTCGCTCAGTCGAAATCAAAACCCTTTCGAACACTAACACCATTTTGAAGTCGCGTAGCTGCTCTTTCGCCGCCAGACGTCGCTGTGATACTCTTTTCCGTGCCCGTCCTTCACTTCCATCACTGCACAAACCCACTTTTCATCTTAATTATCAACAGCCATATACAACCGTCGTCACAAGCATTAATACGAATCAGCCCAACGGCTTAAATATTAAATATTAAAAATGTTCATATGGCCACTGCAGATTTCCGACCGTGACCTCCTACTGGCGATATCGTTTTCATAGAGCCTTATCTGATGTGCTGCAATCGCATCGCGCTGTCTGCCTCTTCCGTTTTGAATGGGCAGCGACTCCGCTATTTACTGTTATCTTCGTCTTCTCTTTGTCCTTTTTTCGTCCTCTCTTCGTCCTCTCGTTGTCCTCTCTTCGTCCTATCTTCGCCGATCTTCGTTGATCATCGCCAGCCGTCCATATGCTGCTACGCCTACGGCTACCAGAAAATGCGAAGCAGGTTGTGATCGCTGACTTTTCGCAGCCTGCCTCGATAAACCACGCGACGACCGAGCCGGTATAGCGTTTGATAACGACAGTAGTGTGATGGGCAGGTGGCTCTTTTCTAAGAGACCTCGCCACGGTCCCCTGCCCCCTCCTTCTTGCTGCTACGGCCTTGAAACCGGCAACGGGAAGTTCGTCTAATGGGCTTCAGTGCGTCTAGGGTTCAATGCGCATGTCGGAGCGGACACTAAAACCTGAAAAGGCGTGACTGGAAACAGCGACCATAACGACCTAAGCAATAACAGCATGAAGTTGTTACAAACAACGGACTGTGTATTAAGAACTCTTTTTCCGAGTAACGACGTGTGCATCAGCATACCTGATTAGAAGGAAACTCCTGCACCGAAATGAAGCGTACGACGCTCTGTAATGGTTGTTCGCATTAAGAAAATCGCAAACCTC